TACCTCATCATGAATACATCAGCTGTGATCGTTGAGAGACATACAAACTTCCACGCAAAAAGCACTCCGTTCACGAAGAGAAAGAAAGCTACGAAAACCACACTTTAAGGGCGGTCGCGGGTAGACCGATGTAGACAAGGGGACACTTGAGCAAGCCTTTGGGGTGGCCCTTCATCAGGATGACGCATTGAAAGAATCGGGTTTGAGCGTTCATATTCGGGAAATAGAGATAAAACGATCAAGAGAATAAGATGCATCAGAAAAGAGAAATGTTATCATTGTGGGTGCAAACGGTCAAGAGTTCCTAGTAACAGCAGTCCGAGGACCCAAGTGGAGTGGTTCCCGTCGCCAATACTTGCGCCAGATGTACGGCGGGAATTTGAACACGTAACATGTGAATTTTCACGTTATCAGGGTATACAAAACGGCAGACGATGGCAGAAAAGAATTTCCCGTAAAAGTGGCGTTGAGCGAATTAGTTGAATAAAATCAGTCATAAACCTTCGATTGGACAAGTATTCGTAACAATGTTGTATATTGACATTTCATCTCAAGTAATTCGGTCAAGTTGTTCTCATCGTGCTTTGTCATATACAGTAGTGGCCAGAAATTTATGAACAAACGGTTTTTTCATGATTTCTCTTTTGAAAGTCACTGGAACGTCTCCAAATTTGCAACAATTATTAACTACGTGTTTTATGATCCACACAGAAAATTTCAACCTTCAGCTCAAATTTGGGTTTAGAAAATTTTAGATTTTTCGAAATTAATGAAGGCAGGTGAAAGATCACTTGATCCGTTTATTTGATTTAAATAATGTATAACCCAACAGAACAGTCAAGTAAACAGTCACTAACATTAAGCAAGTCTAGCACATTGCCCAGAACTCTCTAAAGTATTGGATACATAAACTGGATTTGAATGCGGGGTCAACTAATGAACTCACTCTCTAGTGGGGTCTCTCTCTGTAGTCCCGTCTTTTCGTGGCTCTTTCATTGACATACGAATTTGTAGGTCCTCCCCTAGTGGTTCTGTAATGTTTGGCTCAAGAGTCTGGCCTGGCTGGTCTTTTAAAAGCACCCCATGCTGTCGAAACCACTCCTGCATGTGAGAGCCCGATGCTTTGAGTCGCTGCTCTGCTGACAGACAAAGCCAGTCGTAAGGCAGCTTTGTCTACGGATACATAACATCTTCTAGAATCTAAGTCTATACTACGTATTCCTTAGTTCTCAAAGTCTAAGAAGAGCGCTCGCTGTGAAGTGGGTGGGAGTAGAATGTGATTGACTAAGCCTGAAACGAAGGTTGATACAGGTTTCTAAGGTCATCTGGAATGACAAAAACATATTAGTGATGCATGACAGCAAGGATACTAGTAATGTACGGCACCACGAGAGGGATCGTTTTGATCCAAAGAATCAGCTGCCAATTGTGAACTTGGCGGAGGCTTGATAAGGCTGCCTTGGAAAAAAGTGGGACCACGCTACAAGACTGAGGTAGCGATGCTGTCATGTTGTTGGAAGGTGTTATGTATCCGTAGACATGGCTGCCACACGACCTGGCTTTGTCTGTCAGCAGAGCAGCGACTCAAAGCATCGGGCCTCTCACATGCAGGAGTGGTTTCGACAGCATGGGGTGCTTTTAAAAGACCAGCCAGGCCAGACTTTGAGCCAAACATTACAGAACCACTAGGGAGAGGACCTACAAATTCGTATGTCAAGTGAAAGAGCCACGAAAAGACGGGACTACAGAGAGAGACCCCACTAGAGAGTGAGTTCATTAGTTGACCCCGCATTCAAATCCAGTTTATGTATCCAATACTTAGAGAGTTCTGGGCAATGTGCTAGACTTGCTTAATGTTAGTGACTGTTTACTTGACTGTTCTGTTGGGTTATACATTATTTAAATCAAATAAACGGATCAAGTGATCTTTCACCTGCCTTCATTAATTTCGAAAAATCTAAAATTTTCTAAACCCAAATTTGAGCTGAAGGTTGAAATTTCTGTGGATCATAAAACACGTAGTTAATAATTGTTGCAAATTTGGAGACGTTGCAGTGACTTTCAAAAGAGAAATCATGAAAAACCGTTTGTTCATAAATTTCTGGCCACTACTGTAACTTAATCAAATGAGAGATTAGCACGATGAACACTTTCAATGCAAACAGAGCTAAAGCTTCATGGTGATTACAAAAGTGTTTGGTGGATCCAATAGTGTTACGATGCGTGCACAGAGGCAATTAATTACAGTAATTCATGATTTGGAACGGCAGATTAAATACGTGGTGAGCCACTTACCACTACACCACTTCCGTCCAATTTCCAGGATAGTGCTCGTTATTTTGATACCCATTTCACCTCCACTGGGCCAGTTTCCTTCAACTTCACTTCCATAAGGAATTGCTTATGGAAACAGAATCAAAATGAAAACTGATTAAACGCTGACTCTATAATGTTTCTTTGCGGAAGTGACCCTAATTGTATTGGTTCTTTCAAGCTTCTTTCGACCATCGACTGTCGATTTCTGTGTCCGATCACATTAAAATTCACATTTTTCTCATGGAGCGGAACCACAGAGAAGCAATACTATCCCAATTTCCGTGAGAAATGCAATGCATTCGTAGGAAGCGTGAAGCACAAAATCCTCGTTATTTTTTCAACTTTTGTGGAATTCGCATTTCCTGTCTTACCATTCCGCTTTCTATTAGGCGTTTCAAAAAGTTCTGTCGTTTTCTGACACTCCACTTTTGGATGCTTTATTTCCCTTGAAATCCAGGAAAGCTGCAATTGATGTTGATATCATTTTGAAGAGCTTTTGCTCTATCCAATGCTTAGCTCAACTTGTCCTAAAACATTTTCTTATAGCTTTTTCAAAGCTTTGAATGCGGTATACTCGATGAGCAAGTTGGCATGACTTTCTTTTTCTAGCTTTAAATAGACCTGAAAGTAGCGGGAACAGTTCAAGATATTAACGATGCACTTGGCCTAGATTCGCAATAAATGTGCTCAGAAGCAGTAGTTCAAAAAGTTATTGTAACGAAAGCGAGAGCCTTGGGTATGAGAGTAGTGGTCGTCAGATATCGGACGTTGTCACCGATTAGCCAAAAGTTCTGATTGAAGCACTCGTGCGTAAGACCATAGAGGAGGTTCTGCCCAACCTGGGCGTATATGGTTTGTACAGCCAAGCTATACGGAAGTAGCTGGAAAGTCCAAAAAATTTGATAGGGGCGTGCCGCGACAAATCACCAATTTGAAGGGTCGTCCATCAAATTGTCGCTTGTTTTATGTGATAAAAGCGACTCGTTTTTCTACAGATTTGCGACGTACAATAAAGAGCGGATTCTTCTCTATAGTCCACGAAGCTTTGCTGAATAGATCGACGGCGATGAAGCTCTACAAACTTTGCAAGAATTTAAACTGTGCTGGAGGAGGGTTATGGCAGCTTTCATGAGGTCAGCGGCTGGCCATGTTCTTCAGTATCAGGTGGAACTGTTACAGTGGAGAATCAATCTTTATATTAACGTCAAAAATCATCAAAAACTCTAAGACATGGGTCCAGCATTCCTCATTATAAGGGAACACACACATCCCTGAAAGGTGTCTTGAACGCACATCGCACGGCCAACCCTTCACAAGTTGTACCAGCTGAACTTCAGAGTGGTTCTGCGAACATCTTACTTAGTAGACCTTTGGTCTATCTACTGTCAAATTTCTGACGATCTCGATAGCTTCCTTGAAGAGAAATACATCAAAACCCAACATGATGCTAAAACGACCTTCCCTCAGTTCATCGCCTCCAGAGGTCAGCATTCCAAACAAACGTACCCATTGAACGGCTTCTTATAGAAAAAGATTCGCGCTTTCGAATGGTTTTTTAATCAACTCGAAAGGTTTAGCCCAAGCCGAGATACGTGCATTTAAAATTAGGGGTCGGAAAACGACAGAACTTTCTGAAACGCCTAATAATTGGTCGGCGACCTACGGCCTTCTGCGTCTCTCTTTTAAAGGCAAAGTTCGGGCTCAGACCCACCTAAGAAGCCCTTACCATGGCTAGAAGTGCTGGGTACGCAAGTGCAAAGGTAGCGCCACCTTTCTACATCGAAACGCGTCACTAGGACCCTAGGCGCCATGGACTTCTAACAGACTCCACCAAACTTAACATGGTCCGCCCACCGTTCGATATCTTGTCTGCGTCGCCACGTTGATCTGCTATGCTCTCTCTTCTCGGACTTCTCTACCGCTCTCCGCGCTCACATTATCTCTCATCTCCCTGCCTGTCTTTTGAACTTCTCCACAGCATAGAGCAAAATGCTCGTATTTCCTGTGTATTTCAGGATTTTTTTTTTTCTCCACTGGCGGTCCACCTCCCACTACTTCCACATTTGAGTGAAATCATCCCAGTATTTAATCCTGGTTCTTGCCTTCGATCGCCATAGGGCTCTGTTTACCGTCACTCCCCTGTAGTACGGCGGAAGCCTTTTAGTAATTGAAGGAGAGGCGCAGGGGCGAGATGCGTTGCAGTTTCGATGAGGATTTGAACAGCATAACCTTTCCCATGAAAATATGTGAATTTTCACGTTATCAGGGTATACAAAACGGCAGACGATGGCAGAAAAGAATTTCCCGTAAAAGTGGCGTTGAGCGAATTAGTTGAATAAAATCAGTCATAAACCTTCGATTGGACAAGTTTTCGTAACAATGTTGTATATTGACATTTCATCTCAAGTAATTCGGTCAAGTTGTTCTCATCGTGCTTTGTCATATATATAACTTATCAAATGAGAGATTAGCACGATGAACACTTTCAATGCAAACAGAGCTAAAGCTTCATGGTGATTACAAAAGTGTTTGGTGGATCCAATAGTGTTACGATGCGTGCACAGAGGCAATTAATGTACATATTTCAGATTTGGACGGCAGAGGTAAATATCGTCCAATTCTGTGAGCAACAAATGACTTATCGTCTAACTTCAGCCAAGGGATTCCACGAGGAGAACCCGCAAATGGGTGAGCAGAGCATATGTATACGTTCCCTACTGCGCTTTCACTTTGTTTGCGATTTGTTTTTGTGCAGTCTGCTGGATGTATTTCTAGAATTTTACTCCGTTGAGATAACTGCTTTCGGAAGAAATGGGTAGGTAGGCTATCCGCCTGTCCAGCAAAGTGTGGACTTGAAGAATTGCTTGCAGAAAATCTTACATTCTACCTCATCATGAATACGTCAGCTGTAATCGTTGAAAGACATAGAAACTTCACGCAAAAACACTCCGTTCACGAAGAGAAAGGAAGCTACGAAACCACACTTTAAAGGCGGTCGCGGGTAGACCGATGTAGACAAGGGGACACTTGAGCAAACCTTTGGGGTGGCCCTTCATCAGGTGACGCACTGAAAGAATCGGGTCAAAGCGTTCATATTCGGGAAAGAGATGAAACGATCAAGAGAATAAGATGCATCAGAAAGGAGAAAGGTTATCATTGTGGGTGTAAACGGTCAAGAGTTCCTAGTAAGAGCAGTCCGAGGACCCAAGTGGGATTGTTCCCATCGTCGACACTTGTAACAGATGTGGGCGCGAGTTTCAATGCGCAACAGTCCTCCCTGATTTGAACGGTATAACTTTTTCCCATGAAATATGTGAATTTTCACGTTATCGGGGTATAGAAAACGGCAGACGATGACAGGAATAAACTCCCTGTGAAAGTGGCGTTGAGCGAAGAGGTCAAATAAAATCAGTCATAAACTTTCGATTGATGAAAATTCATAGCAGTATTGTACAGGGTGCGCCAAAATTACGGAGACAGCGATTTCGAGTCGCCTAGAATGAACACGCCACAATTCCAGGAAGCCAAAAATGCAGTAACGTTCACTGTTCAATAATGAATCGTAAACATCTGCCAAATCTCAGAAATTCCTTCGTTGGCACTTATACGGGCCTTGAGAAGCAGTGAGGAACCATCGCGGTGGCACGCAAGGTAGTGCGTAGAATCCGTTCCTACGTATTCTGAAGCAATTCTTCAAAATAATCCCCAAAAATGTAAAGTTCCATGCAAGTTTCAGCTTGCAGAATCAATTCTACAGTGTAAGCCATTTATATAGAATCTGAAATGCTGACCAACTCGTTGAAAGTGATGAATTCGACAAAATTGGCTCTGACCCAGTTCAGCACCACCCTTGCCCTATGGAAATCCCTTCCTTATGAAAGATCAAACAATGTTTTTAAATCTTAAGATGGCAATTTGCTTGGGAATTCTCAAGTAATCTCCTTAATGTCCATCTCTCGTGACATTCGGCGGAACGAGTGCGCGAAGTGCCACCAAATTCTGTTGCGCACCATGCTGACATTGCTCGTGGCCGTCTCGGAAACACGGCCTTCCCATCCAGAATGAGTGCATTCGGTTCCTTACTCCTTGGAGCGTTTAGTGGATCCATGATTGGTACCCAGTTATTAGGTCATCTCATTCAAACATGTCCACGGTTTTATTCGAATAAAATGAACAGCAGGAAAGATAAAAAGCTAATACTTTGGTGTGAAGTCAAGCAGATCTTGTCGTTGTTAACGACCCGATCCCAGCGTCTAGAAAACACTGGACACCGCGCAGCTTCTTCATTTCAACAAGTATAGACAAGATGCTTTTGATGTCAGTATAGATGATCAACGAATTGTCGTAGCGCTTCCGAACGAGTAGGGCGTTCAGTTCGATAAAACAGCTGAGGTCGCATGGCTGCAGTTGGGAAAATACGGCTGATAAGAAGAGGCCACAATATCCGTTTGATCGAAATACCCGTGAGCAATATGAGCTATGTAGGGTCTGGTATCGACATAGGTGATGATATCGTTATTGTAGTTTTATACTGCTATTCCTTTGTCAATTTGTTCGCTAAGAAACAAGCCATAAACTTGAGAAACGCCGGAGGTTTTTTCCCGACAGAGCCATTTAAGAGGCACACCTCAGAAATCCATCGCCATAATAATCATCCACGTGAACCCACGTGACTTCTCGTGATCCAATTCGGGCAGTTCCTCATTCGCGTTAATCCAAAGTTGACACTTCTGACTTTGGCCTCAGCGTACAATTACACACAAATTTCGTTTATGAGCAGGGTCCAGTTTGATAGTCTTAAATGCCGTTATCGGCAGAGAAAATCATTGCTACAGACACCAATTCGATTCTGGACTCCTGCATCTGGGAGTAAATGGATATCCAAAAACATGTTCTGTGGACCATCCCCAATTTTTGGGCACAATTTGCGTAACAGGTGCAGCTAGACTGCAAGTCTCGTGGGCAAACATCGCAAAGGTTCAACATCTGTGATGCGCCATTTGAAACCTCATTTCATCCACCCGCTCTTCTTGGGCAAGGTGGACAATATGAACGCGTCCTCAACCACAACTCGCTTCCGTTCTCCCTTCTTTGAGCTCTCACACCATATCTTCAACGTAGCACTTCGAGAACACTGTATCACGCGTAAGTTGAGCCAGCACACACAGAATTCGAGTTGCGAATTTTACGTATGTCACCAGTCATCTGGAAAATTCCACCTCGATTTGGGTCACTATGAATTCTTTTATGTGTTTAAGTGTTTCCTCCTGCAGCACTATAAACTAAATTAGAGTATACCGTAGCTGGGTGTGCTAGCTTTAAAAGCAAAAGCAAGTAGAATGCTCTAGCTCTTTTACTTTTCCCACCATTTCTCTAGATGTCTGGACATGTTTGAATGAGTTGACCTAATAAAAGAATAGCGAATATTTCTTTTGGCGTGCTGAAAACTCGCAAAGTTGAAGTTCGGTGATCTAGAAATGGCGGCAGAATCACTTATGTGGCCTATACAATGACTTGCGGGG